AGCGTGTATCCCATGTAAATTGATTGACAAGTGGAAGTGATTTAAGTGGATCATACATCCACACTTTAGATTCTCCCTATGTGAGATAGTGGGATGTTTTGGAATGAAAGTCACTAACGAGTTAAAATTGAGACATTTTCATGGGTACCCTATTCCTAGGGCTAGCTTGAGTGACTGAGCAGTTACTGTTCCATCTTTACTCATGCATTAGTGTGAAAGCTTTGGCTACTTCTCTCAAGATTCTAAATGGGTTGTTGGAAGCATAGAATTATCAAACAAAGTTAGAATCATGCTAACAAACATGGAAAATCACTTGTGGCGCATTTATTTGCATGGGTGCCTCACGTGCATGAGCACCATCACCAACATCATTCTCGCAGTGTCGCAAAGGCTCATTTTCATCATTTTTCATATTCTCATTTACCCCAGTGCTGCAAAGGCTCTCAGGCCTCCCACCAACGGTGGGGTAAGGAGGGATCGGATGTACATAGTCTTACCCCTGTACTAAAGCACAGAGAGACTGTTTCCGGATGACCCATAGTGAAAATCGCGTCCAAAATTGCATGGACTGACTGCTGCTTAATAACAAGGAAGCGCAGACAGTTTAGTGAGCCATTTTACTTTATTCCATCATAATCTAAAGCCAAAAAAATAATGAATCTTTGACTCCATTGCAAATGATGAAAAGGCTCGCTAAGCAAAAATAATAAAATTAGCTGGTGTCGAAATATTTGTTTTGTTTTGTTACACATGTAAGTTTCCCGAGAATCTCTTTTGTTGTCAATTAATCATCCCCGTTTTTTACATGAAGCAGCCGATGAAACAAAAGTATAAATTTTGTATATATGTATATGTATGCCTCCATCTTTTGAATCAAATAGGTGTATGCCTCCATCTTTTCAGTGCAATACACATATGTCAATGATATCATATTACTCTGATTTCTCTCATTAGAATGAGTATGTCATGCTCCCATTTGAACTAGGGATGGATTCGGTTCGGGCCACCCGGCCCGTGACCCGGCCCGGTACTGTGCGGGCCCGGGACCGGACCGGTCGGGCGGTTCGGGACCGGGTATGGGCCCGGACCGGTGGGAAGGGGCGGGGCGGGCTCGGTTCTGCATTATTGTGACCCGGCCCGGCCGGGTCGGGCCCGGGCCCGGGTCCGGTTCTATTTTTAAAAAAAAAAAAAATTGGTTTGGGCTCCTACTAGCCGTTGGGGGTGGGGCTGGGGACAACCCAAACGGCTATATAGCCGTTGGGTGGGGTAAAGGGGGGGTGGGGTTGGCTGGTGGGGGGTGGTGGTGGGGGGTGGGGGGTAAAAAAACCTATAAATACTCCTAATCTTAAACATTTTTTCATATCTCTTCTCCAATTCTTCCTAAATCCTATTCTTAACTCTCTACTCTCTAATTCTCTTATTCTCCATTCTCCAATATATTATATTTATTATTTATAGTTTATATTAATTATCTACTTATATAAACTATAAATAGATATAAATAGTATTATATTACTTATATTTGTTATCTAGTTATATATTACTTATATATTTATTATATCTATTAATATAGTTGGAATTATATCTAATTAATTTGAAGTCATTCTATTACTCCCATCCGAAAGACCGAAAGTCCGAAAGAGGTACGAAATTATTCTATTATTTACACTTGTTTAATTACTAGTTAATTTGCTACATTTGACTCTTGTTTAATAGTTAGATAAATAGTTAATTAGTTTTTTACAATTTTTTATTAATTGCTACATTTGATTCTAGTTTAAAAAATATGTTGTACACAAAACTAGTTAATTCACTACTTAATTTGCTATAACTCGAATTAATAGTTAGATAAATAGTTAATTAGTTTTTTACAATTTTTTATTAATCGCTACATTTTTTAGATGGATCGTCCTAGATATTCGGTTGATATGGGTAACCTCGAGCGCAACCGAACGAAAGAGTTTGCGAGAAAGAGATCCCGCAAAGGTAAATCACATATCGACTCTTCATCTCAAAGTCAAGATGATTTTGATACGGGTTACGTAAGGAGGGATGGGGATGCGATGACCGACGAACAACTAGAACAAGAATTGCACCGACATAATTCCCGCTTTTTTCAAGACCAACCGAGGACCATTGACGAAGAAGAGCTCGAGGACGAGGACGACGATGTGGAGGAAGCAATTCCGGAGAGCCACGACGACGAGGAGGAGGAGGGTGGCGGCAGCCATGACGCCGACCAAGCAGCCTCATCCCAAACAGGTACAAAAAAAAGTAAATCTGAATTAATGGCTAATAATTTTTCTAAGTGGAAGGACCCGAACACCGGGAATTGGACCGCAACTTGCAATTGGTGCAAGAAAAACTATAGCTTGGGGATTTCCGGCGGATACGGATCCGCCACAAGACACCTTAAGTCCAAACATCCGGTGGAGTATGCAAAATTAGGCGGCGGAACGGGGAAACAAACGCAAATATCGAGGTTTGCAAATAACCAACAAGCTTTTGGTAATTTCTCATACAATGATGCACAAAATTTGACAGGTATGGCTAACTTACTTGTTGAAGAAATTTTGCCTTATTTGTTTTCTGAAAGTCTTACTTTTCGTGATTATGCACAAACTTGTTTAAATCCGCAATATAGAGGTTATAGTCGCAAAACGGTTAAGAAAGAAATTTCAAGGCTTTATGGTGCGGAAAAGGTAAGGTTACAAAATTATTTTGCAAACTTTGATGGACGTGTTACTGTATGTTCTGACATATGGGAGGATACTTATCATAATTTACATTATTTGGGTCTGACTGTACATTATATTGATAATGATTGACATATGCATAAACGTGTTCTTGCTTTCCGTGAATTTAATGATCGTCACACCGCTGAACATATTTATATTTTGATTGAACGTATTTTAATTGAGTATAATTTAATTGATAAGGTGTTTGCTATTGGTTTTGATAATGCTACTAATAATACTGCTACTATTCCTAGATTGCGTGAATTGTGTGGTTCTACTTCTTTGATGGGTAGATTTTTTCATCAACGATGTGCATGTCATGTTCTAAATTTATGTGTGCAAGATAGTCTAAAAGCGTTGGGAGCATCGTTGGAGGTAGTCAAGGGGGGGATTAGACGTATTTGGGGTAATGGACACCTTAGGAAAAAATGGCATGATTATTTGATAGAAAGAGGTGAGAGATATGTGGCTTTTCCAAAAGATTTGTCTATTCGTTGGAATAGTACCTATAAGTTAATTAACGTTCTTCTTAGATATAAACAACATTTTCCTGCTTTTATGAAACAATATGATAACTATATTATAAATTCGGCTGAGATCGACACCTGTGAAAAAATTTGTAATGCTTTGATATATTTTAATAATGCAACTGAAACTTTTAGTCATGTTTATAAACCTACCTCAAACCAATTTATTCGTGAAGCTGTTAATCTCGCCGGTGCTTTTTCAAATTTTGAGAATGCTGATTATGTGAATTATTTTGCTGGTTTTATGAAGGAAAAGTTTTTAAAATATTATTCACATATTCCGCATATTTATGGTATTGCATTTGTTCTCGATCCTCGTTTTAGACTTGGTTCTTTAGAAGAATGTTTGAATTATTATGCTGCTTTTTTTGGTCCATAGCCAATGTATGAGGACAACCCAATTGATCCGAAAAAGGAATACAACGAGGTTAGTGATATATTTTATGCATTATTCAATGAGTTTCATGCACAATATGGCAATGCGCCCCCTCCCCCGACACAAACATCATCTAAAGGAAAATCAATTTTCAAATCTACGTTTGCCAATCTTATTAAAAAAACAAAATCAACTCCCGCTACACAACAAAGCACAATTAATGAGATTTCTTTGTATTTAACTTATGATGTTGATTTTGAAGAAGATGATGATTTTGACGTACTAAACTGGTGGAAGGGAAAAGAAAGAATGTTCCCGGTTTTAGCAAAGATGGCTAAGCAAGTGCTATCAATGCCGGTTTTAACGGTTGCCGTGGAACAAGAATTTAGTTCGGCCGGCAATGTTCTAACACAAACCAGAACGAGGTTGAGCGCTGAATCTCTTGAGATGCTTATATGCTACCACGATTGGTTGAAAGCAGCACGTAGAGCTCAAGAAATTGACATCACTCCATCCCAACACTTTATGGATGAATCTACAGAGGGTGCCTCTACTTATGTCGGAGATTCCGATTAAAAACAATTATAGTTCCTATTTAATTTTCAAATGTAGTTCCTATTTCATTTCAAATAAATGCACTTGAAGTTTATTTTTTAATACTTGTATAAAACTATAAAGTATAAAATATAAATTAAAAAAAAATTAACCGGCCCGGCCCGGCCCGGCGGGTGGCCCGACCCGTGACCCGGCGGGTGGGCCGGCCCGGCCCGAACCGGACCCGTCCAACCCTCGGGCCGGTCCCGGGCCCATGTGATACGAACCGGCGACCCGGCCCGAATCCATCCCTAATTTGAACCAAAGTTACATATATATTTATATACATACACACAATAAAATATATTGCATATTTGCAAATAGCCTGGTAAGAATGCAAGTTATACCGTATGTTTTTATGTATGGAACTTGGGACTGACATTCACCGGTCAAGAACATAATCGGATCAGAGATTCAGAGCCAAAGACTTTTCTGCTCAAATGTGCAATGGTTAAGACATAGAAAACACTAGACTACTAGAGCAATGAATCTCCAGCAAGTCCTTACTGTGAAGTTTTAAGAAAGATGCTATCTCAATTGCCCGAGAATCTTATTGCAACAGAGTCATTTCATTTTCATTTTTATTTACCCCAGTGCCGCAAAGGCTCCCCACCTACGGTGGGGTAAGGGGGGTCGGATGTACGCAGTCTTACCCCTATACTAAAGCACAGAGAGACTGTTTCCGGATGACTTTATTGCAAGAGTATTACTGGTTAATTGGAAGCCAATTATTATTGGTATTTATATAAAAATTCAAGAACAATTCTGAAAAGGCGTCAGCATTTAAAAATCAATTGCTGTCATTACGTTCTGGTGAAACATTAGTGCTATCTTCAAATGAACTAAGATACTGTTGAAGCGATGAAATAAAGAAATCAGGATATGCATATGACACACTCATAAAATACAGAACACACACAATCATGGAGTACCGGAGTAGCAGATGAAACAAAAATATAAATTCGGTACATATATTGATATGTGAAGTAATGTCTAGGTACAGACACACTAATATCACGGACGATGCTCATTATCTGATGATGATCCGGGGAGGAGTCTCCCGAAATCCATGTTGGGACTCCGGAGAATAGAGGCATATGCATCCACATCCCGAATGAACAGTTCCTCCTTCAACCACCTCTTCAACTCCTCATCAGAAACCCCTCCTTTGTGTAGCATATTCCTACAACAAGAAGCTCTTTTCTTACTGCCAAAGTTTAAAAACTCTCTGAACGAAATATCTCCCAACGGCGGCAGTGAGATTTCATTGCGGCGGGGGAGGGGTGGCAATTGGTTTTGGCGCGGGGAAGACCATGAAGGGGGGGGCATCAGTATGCCGGGGTGCACTTTTACCCAAGATGACACAGTACCAGCTGCAGAGACATTGGGAGTGTTTCCAGTCCTGGCTGGTTCAGGACGACGAGGACAGGCGTTAAGGTCAAGGATAATGGAGCGGGAAGGAGGAGTTGAGTAGGAGGCTTCAGTGAGGCAGAAACGGCATGCACAAGTCAAGAGGTGGCTTGAATTTGCATCAGCCCATACTGTGGCAGAGAAGGTGGGGGGAGCAGCTTCTCCTCGCTCTTGCCGATCCATGATTAATTTTGTTGTGCTTGAGAAGAAAGATGGATTCTCCATGTTATTTCTCGACTTCCGCTGATAGACCAGAATGCCTTTGCCTCTCTCACTCTCTTCTCTTTTTTCTGAACAGTTTTTACTCATTCCTCTACCTAGAAATGCCATCACTTTCTTCCAAATATTGGTAATGATGATGATGAAAATAAATAACAGCCATAATAATAATAATCATAGTAGAAAAATGTCTAGTAAGTAAAAGATGAAACGAAAAAAGAGATCACATTAGAAGAGGCTAAAACACAAAAAATCAAGTTTAGATATTTGTTTGGAGTTGTGTTCGCATTTGCATTTATTACATAACACATGGAGTAAAACTTTAGAAATCTCAATACATATTCATAATTTCTGCTAACAACATTTTTTTTTACTAAATACTTGATGGCTCAGTTTGAATGTTTGATAATTTGGGCTATTGAAACAAGATCCTGCCATCGAAGATTTGATATCTTTACTAATACATGGGATATTCTGAGTTGCTAAACAGCATATTCTAGATCCGTGATTTACTGATTCGTAATTCAATTCTTATTTTCTTTCGGATCCAATTTGTGGTTCAGAATACAAAATAAGGCCTACATACAATGGCATAACTCTAGCATCAGGTTTCAGAGTGTGCCACATTATGCTGGTTAGTGGTTACAATTAGTGAATTCACACAAAAAAATAAATAGTCAAAATGTTTAAAAAGAGTCAAATGTGATGAAAAGAAAAATTTAAGATGGACTAACTGAATCTCTGTAGTTCAACTAAGTTCCTTCATTAGAAATGCACAACGACGTAATCGGATCAAATTTAGGGAGAGTAGTCTTCTTACATAAGTTTACACACAAAAAAGAACATAAAAACATACATCTAAAAACATAATTTGATCGAATCTGGAACAGTCAGGGCTCAAAGGGCCCTCTGTAGGCCCTCGAGAAATATTAAGATTCCTTTTTTAAATGAAAATATAAGAAATAATAGTGTTTAGGTAGAAAACAATAAAAACGAAATATTTCTTCCACAAAAATTGACACCCATTATAATCATTTGAGAGTAAAATAAAAGAAAAACAATATAAACACTGGCTTCAAATTTAGAAAGAAAAAACTTAGCTAATTGAGAAGCATGAGATTTGAATATTTTATTAAATGTTGCATCGAAAATGTTTCTTCTCACGATTCAATTAAAGCAGCAATACATTGAACTATTAATGAACATAGATTACAGGAATTTTAGCTTTTATTACCTGAATCAATAAGTTTAAGTAATCCTGATTGACATCATCATGCACCAACATCAGTGTTAGTAAAAAACATAAAAAAAACATGGAGACCTACATCTAAGTTCAAATGGAAAACAATAAGAAGGATTGAGGAAGATGAACATACTTACATGATAAGTAGACAATTTTCTCTAAATCTGTTTTGGTGTTATGTCCTGGGTTTTCTTGAATGCAGATAATAGCTGCTTTTGAACTGTGAAGTTGTGACTTGTGAGATCTGAGTCATCGTCTTATAAACATATAGAAATAAAGTACATAAAGCTGTCTCACACGCATTCGGCACACAGCATGTGGAGACGACTGCTTAACGCGTGACTCACACCGACGTTCTCATGCCTATTGCGTTTATTTCTTTATGAATATAAATAAACGTGATCTCATTGAATGCATGCGAGATTATGCACCCCCATTGGCATTCAATTTATTTTTCATAGATAAATCCATTGGATGGATCTATGGGCTCAGCCATCATCTTATATTGTCCCAATAGTTAGAGTCCAATAGGTGATAACAACTATAATATACAATACTCCGTATTTTACAATACTTCAAAAATTATATGTAGTATATTGATTCTTTTAAAACAACCTAAATATAAAATTTCATATTATTTCAAGAATAATAAATATGCTGCACTCTCCCACTCAGCTTAATACAACATCTTCAACCCCTCTCCCCCCATCCATCCTCCACTTCCCAATTTCAAACCAAAGAAAGGGTAAAATAACTCAAGTGTAACAATAATTGAAGAGTGCAAATTTTGATACAACACCTGTTCTGGATGCTCCTTGATTGAGTATAGGCATAGCTCCACCAATGCTAGATTAACTGCCTTAAATTCCTGAAGAATTCAGAAATGTTTGGGATAAGTTAATAAGTGAATTAGAGATACAATTGACCCAAGGATGGGGGTGTGTGCATACCAACCTATATTACTTTTGTAAATATCAGAAGGGAATTAGCTGCTGACCTGAAGAGTTGCTGTCACGAGTAATAAATAGACAACCGGAAGATCATTACTCCAAAAATTCCATATGTAAGCACTAGATTCTAATACACAATACATGGAAACTAGAGCCATGAACAGTTAATGTATAAGAAAAAAATTGAGTACCAAAATGTGGTTAATAGCAAATTTCAGATGGAACTAAATGGACTAATGTAAGATCTGATACTTGGGTGGCACTTCAAAGTACTTGAATATCAAAACAAAGATGGAAAAACTCTCCACTGACAGGCTCTACTCCATAATATATATATACCTGACAATTAAAGTGAATAGAATGAGCTAGTGAAACTCAACAGTGGATTATCATATTACTGAATGGAAGCTAATACAGTTCAGTCAATATTGAAGTGAATAAAAAGTGATACTCCCTCCGTATTTAAAAGTTCCCTACACTTTCCTTTTTGGGATGTATTCAAAAGTTCCCTACACTTTCCCTTTTTGGTAAGTTGATAGGAATATGGCTTAGTAGGCTAATAATAAGAAATAATAATAACAGAAAGGGTACATTTAGTAGTATAAATAGAAGGGGAAGGGGAGGAATAAGGGATCCAATAATAAGTAACTGGTGGGCTAGTGGCCTTATTAATCCCTGTGTGGATAATACTATAAATAGAAGGGGGATACCAAAAGAAGGTAGGCTGTTATATGATTGGGGTGTTGCCTTGGAGAGTGGGCTTCTCTAACAGTCCCGGTTGCCTTGTTGCCTACGTTGAGATATTTCTTATCAATAAACATCAACTTCCCTAATTCCTTATCAGATTTGCAGTGCTAGTTTACTGTTTTCACTTGGATTATTGCCAGGTTCTTATCAAAAGTTTTTCCTTTAAAAATACTCTATTATCCTTACGTTTTTTTACTTTTTATCCTCTCTTTCCTACTTTTTCACCTTCTCTCCTACTGTTTTCTATACTATTCATTACCCTCACTATTCTTTCTTAAATCTTGTGCCATAATCAAACGTAGCCATCTTTTAAATACAGAGGGAGTACAATTTATAACTTCTGAAATTGAAAATGGAGAATTGGAGATAGGAAACCAGAGTTTGTTCCCAGCAAAACTTCCTTAACTTTGTACCCAGAAAATCAAAGACTATACTCCCTTGTTTGGAATGTTTTACGTCATGGGAAATTTGAAAATAATGAGTAATCGTAAGTCCATTCTCATGAGAAGTACTCCTACATAGAGCTATCGTCCTAACAAAAGATAAACAAGTCTCAGGCACGGAGACAGTGAGACACCCATCATCAGTTCATTGTTAACACTACCAGTTGAGGGCCAGTGTAAGATGTCATTCCTTGCAGGACAGTTTTGCCACACAATATTAACTTACAACATAGAAGTACAACTGAATGGCATCAATGATCAATTCTTGTAACTTCTGAAGAGTAAAGAGCTCCAATCATGCAACAATACTAGTTTTTATGTACTCCATTTCATTCAATGATGACCTCAGTTCTGATAAGCCAATCTCTCCAAAAAATACTTCAGAAAAGTCCTAGTTGCCTACATTTGTACTCTAGACTACAATGGCACATTAATAAAGTTGGGAAGCTTCTGTATCAATAACTATATACTATATATAGACACGGCCATCTAGCCCTGTACTAAGGATCAAAACATTCACTCAATTATAGATCACATGCACCCTCACACTTTTTGTGTCCATCATTTGCCATCCTACATACAGTCCATGCGTGTGGTGAATCAAAGATTAAAATCGTTGTCTTATATATACAACTCTTCTCCTTGTCGAGTTTTCTTAAGCACAAAATCTCAAAATTATACCTTCGTTCAAAGCCAAAGTTGTGAGCATTTATTTGTGTAACAACTATATAGTCTAAGTCTCAAAACCCTGATCATCATATACATTAAAAGGCACACTCAGTTGCAGCACTCTTGAATTTAATTTATTAAAGGTTACTCCAATCTATATTATTAGACATAAACTCCAAACTTAACATGACGCATCAAACAAACAACAAACATGATTGGGAAGATAATAAAATCGCCCCCATAAAAGGACTTCCTTTTTGAAAATTCTTCGCTTCTATTTTCTGAAACAACCTAAACTGTACTACAATTGTGAGAGCGATTCTTAAACAACCCTGCAAATACAGTGCTTGTGAGAGTGATTCTTACATGCTCATATGCTTCTCTAGGAGTTGTTGCTTGATAAAAGATTGTATCAAATGTTGCATAGTGTTTCAAAAACATGTGTACTTCTAATCTTACATGATGTGGAATTTGATAAAATATTCAGTAAAAAAAATTATTTTATGTAAACAATGAAAACTCAAGGAACTTTAATTTACAAAATATAAAAAAAAGTAAATCAATGTATGAGAAATAAAAGCACAAATCCATTGCAGTAAATGCCTAGTAAATTCTTAAGATCCAAATGAACATCAGCTTCTTAAGTCCCATCATCACAATAGATTCCTATAATATGCATGCAAAAAATTGAATAAAAGCCTATACATACGTACTACATATAAAAAATGAAGTCTAACAAATATGTCAGAATTAGTAAAAGAAAACGGCCACAGGCCATAAACAATCTATTCTTCAATTCCAAAGGGCTTATTAGTATTTGATATCCTAAAGAGTTGGACAAAACTGGTGGGTTCATTAGTAACTCTTAGACAAAGTTGGTAGGAAGTTAAAAACATACATAGCTCTTCCGTATCTTCTATTTATAGTCTTTTTCTGTTAGGGACCGGGACACTACAAATAATTAAAGTATTATCAAGTTATTTTAATATTGGTCAATAATAGGGTTTTAGGCCTTGCAACTAAATAGAAGTGGGCTGGCCCATTAGAAATAGAATAAATAAGGGTTAGTGGTGAGTAGATGATGGGGGGGCAGAATTTGGGATCGGGACTGGGATATTGTGATAGACCACTCGAAGAGTCTCAACCTTCTTCTTTGTTTTACGTTTTCCTTCATTAAACTTTCATAAATATACTTCGATTATCTACTGGTATTCTGCTGTTACCTATCATTGGTATCAAAGCCTACGATCGCTGCACCTTTGTATGGTCCTCACTCGATCGAACATGGAGCAGCAGATAAATAATTTGGAGATATCGCCGGAGCGATCTATGGCCTATATGCGCGCTGAGATGAAAGCAATGATGGATGAGCGGATGCAGACGCAGTTAGAGAAGATGCAAAGTCTTGAGACCCAAGGCAGTCGCAGGAAGAGAAGAGGACGATCAACCACAAACCGTCGTCGCCATACTTCAGCAAGCGTGAGCTCCTCTAGTTCCGAAGGTAAATCTCATGAAACTCACTCAGTTTCACGCAGCCCTTATCAGATGAGAATCAGCGACCGTGTATATACTGGAAGAAAGGTCGATTTACCACTTTTTAGTGGAGACGATGCTTATGGATGGTTGATTAGGGTTGAACGCTCAACCATGTGGCAGAAGAGGATAAAGTAGAAATAATCTTGATAGCCATGGCCGGAAAAGCTCTGAACTGGTACCAATGGTGGGATGAACAGACTGATGACCATTCATGGTTTAACTTCAAAGATGCTTTGATCCGCCGTTTCCAACCTGCCTTAGTACAGAATCCGTTTGGTCCTATGCTCAGTATTAGGCAAATTGATTCAGTAATGGAATACTGGGATCACTTTGAAATAGTTGTAGCTCCTCCCAAACTTGCTGACCAAGGGATGTTGAAAGGAGTGTTTCTCAATGGCCTTAAAATAGAAATTAGCACGGAACTGAAGTTGCACCAGACCAGTGGGTTAACTGAACTGATGGACAAAGCTTTGTTGTTGGAGCACAAGAACAAGGTGTGGACAGGAGAAAAAAATAAAGAAGAAGACAACACAGGCTGGAAGGAACAGGGAGGAAAAGGGTTAGACCCTGGAACTGGGTGGAAGCAACAAAAGGAAGAACACCTGCTTTAACTCCGGAGAGAACACTTTCAGGGAACAAACTGGAGGAATTGCCAAAACCGAATAAGACATGGGAAGGTGGCCAAAGGTTGACACAAGCGGACTTAGAAGAAAGAAGCAAGAAGGGCCTATGCTTCAAATGTGGAAACAAATGGGGCAAAGAGCATGTTTGTGGAATGAAACATTATCAATTTATCTTGATGGAAGAGCCAGAAGAAGAGAAGGGCACAGAAGATCAGTTATATGAACGGGATGAAGCTGAAAACTTGCTAGAACCTAATGCAAAATCAGTTTCTTATCATCCACCTTGAGGACAAGGTGGAAGTTCAAGGGGGGAGTAATGATAGGGACCGGGACACTACAAATAATTAAAGTATTATCAAGTTATTTTAATATTGGTCAATAATAGGGTTTTAGGCCTTACAACTAAATAGAAGTGGGCTGGCCCATTAGAAATAGAATAAATAAGGGTGAGTGGTGAGTAGATGATGGGGGGGCAGAATTTGGGATCGGGACTGGGATATTGGGAGTGAGAGACCACTCGAAGAGTCTCAACCTTCTTCTTTCTTTGTTTTACGTTTTCCTTCATTAAACTTTCATAAATATACTTCGATTATCTACTGGTATTCTGCTGTTACCTATCATTTTCCATACTAGATTGAGTTCTCATTTAATAAACAATAACATTGAAATGGAACCAAATAAGTTACATAAAAAGGAGCTAATAATGTATCACTGGTTACCTGACCTACTCCCTCTTCATAATAGTGCAAGCATATTCCTCTGCAAGACTTATCTTTCATCAGCCACAAACTTCTGAATAAGAAATGCCACAAAATCATCAAGATTATGTCATTTTATTTATTATAGAAGAACTTATCAGAACCATATAATTTTACCATAACATTCTGTTAAAATATAGAGAAAGTTGGTCAATGGAGCAGGTTATAGTAAAAAGAAAGAACATATCTTAAACAGGAGATATTGAAACTTAGTAAGCTTCTAAGTTTAGGTATAATCCAAGTAAAAGTGTCAAAGATAACACAAAAAACGTGTCTCTTAATCTCTGAAAAAGATAGAAAAATTAAAAAACACAGCCAACTAAAACTCATCTACTTTCTTGGCAATCAAAGGCACTTCTCTCGATCTGAAAATTTACCTCACCTATGTAGTTACAAGGGCATCCTCACCAACCGTATAATCTTCATCTTCTCTCGTCCTTTATTGTGAACACCAGTAGGGTCGGTAACCTGAAAAAAAACTCAATCTCCTCTGCAAAATGTCACTAATCTTTATATGACAGAGAAGCTGAGCACCACCATCAGTGATTACATGTAATCAAGCCATGGTTCTTTCTTTTTGCACACTTAGATAGAATATTAGGTCTTTTATATCATTTGCAGTGGAGCCAAAGACTCACTACTTTTGGCTTGGGAATATGATGGAATAAAGCAAAATGACTCACTAAACTGTCTGCGCTTCTTTAGTGTGAAACAGCAGTCAGTCCACGCAATTTTTGACGCAATTTTCACTATGGGTCATCCGGAAACAGTCTCTTTGTGCTTTAGTACAAGGGTAAGACTGCGTACATTGGACCCTCCCTTACTCCACCGAAGGTGGGAGCCTTTGCGGTATTGAGGTAATGATGATGATGATGAATGATGATGAGATAAAATGTTAGGTCTGCTTTTGCAAAAGTAAGCTGCAGAGAAGATAAAAGTGAAACATGGGATGTGGACTAGGAGAAACGAATGGTTTGACAATTGACATACTGACCAGCGAAGAGAAAATACAAGTGTTAGAGTACGGAAATCAGCAGAACCACAAATTTGGCAATGTGTGCACAGAAAGGTTGACAACGGAACAGGAAAACCTATCTTACAGAATGTTGGAAGGAGTCGATAGTTAACGGCAAATGGGTCTATGGGAATGGGACGACATCCATTAGCTGCACTATATAAGTAGGAGATTAATGAGGGGTGGAGGATATGGTCTAAGTTAATACTCAGACCATGAAGTATAATGGTTGTAACTCGTAAGCAATGGATTGTGGCTGACAGTGAAGTATTAAAGATATAAATAAATATAGAGCAGCAAAGCATCACTTTAAATAAACATCACTTGAATGTTTGTATTGTCAGATATGTGGAACTTATGAAGTAATTTTTACAAGTCATTGCAGATAAGATAATTTTCTTATAAATCTTGGATGTGCCTTGTGTTTTATAATGGCGCGCTTCTAAATTTAGTCATATTAGCTAAGAGGTTATATTTGTGATGAACTTAGTCTGATCCAATTCTGATGAACTTAAAACAATAATTAAGAAGGGGTGCAAATGAGTTCGAGCCATTGCTTTCTTATCAAGCTCGAGCATGCCCAGGTTCAAGTTCAGCTCAGCTCGTTTGCACCCCTACACTAAGTGAAATGTCATTACCTGTTTTGGTAATTCCAGATGTACACAGTACGAGAATACAAACTTGTGAATATCATGCAAGGAAAATGGGTAAATTTTTATATTAGCAAAGATGTACGGAGTATGACTTAAATAGTTCTACAGTCCGGTCCAACACGAACACTGCTAGACAATGAAATGGAGAAAAGCTCTTGTGAGTTGTGACACAAATTAAACTTGACAGTCTAAGAACTGTGTCTCAATCATAGTGGTCATGGCGCATGGCGACATCTGTGGTGCACAAGCCATTTCCATTGGCGATGGCGCAAATATGGCATCGCCATGTGACAAAAGAAACTTCAAAACGAATGATAGACACTATAGCTCATCAACTCAACCACCAAAACATGATAAAAAGTTGAATAACAACATTCTAACCAAAACATGTGAAGTTAAAATAGTTTAAAGTACTTCCAAAAAACATACTTCCTCCGTTTTTTTTAGTTGCAACGGTCAACATTTCACATTTGCCAACACACATCTTTGACCGTAAATATATCTTATTTTCTATTAGCAAAAAATTTTAAAAATCATATTTTGAAAATTTGTAATGAGATGAATTGAACAATATTTTATTAAAAAAATAATCTTCATAAAATAATAGTGTAAAATGTAGTCAAAATAGAACATGCGAATAGTGTAAAATTCAACATGTTGCGATTGAAAAAAACGGAGGATAGTAATATTCAAAAAACATAAAAACTTCAGTGACCGCAAGTTGAAGTAAAAACTGCAAGTATTTAAAATATGAATTTTTAAGTTTAAAGGACTTTAAACTGTTGATCATCTCAAGTTCTCAACTAAATTGAAGTATCAAATTGATACTTCTTAAGCAAGTCCAACAACTCCAGAAAGTGGCTTATAATTGCAGGTTTCATTTGATATATCAAACTGATACTTCTTAATCAGAAAGGCTTTAAATTTCAGGAAGTGGCTAAATGCAGGTTTATTTGATAAATGAATAAGTCCAACAACTCCAACTGTTTCATTTGCCAAATGCAGGCTTTCATTTGCCAGTTATGGATAACAACAAAAGTAAACTTATTAATTATATATGCAAGTTATGGATTATGGCTTATAAACTTTGACAGATCAAGTGATCAACTTCAGAATGGGACTGATATTTGAAAATAAACTTGTATATGCAAGTTATGGATTATGGCTTATATATGCAAGTTATTTTCAAATAAACTTGATCTGTCAGAAAAGTTATGTTGTTGGGCTTGCAAGTATCAAGTATGGGACTGAAGTTGATCACTTGATCTGTCAGAGCTGTTCTAAATTATATGAACATTTATGTTAATTTAAAACTTCATTTAAAATTAACATAAAGTATTTTTTGGCTTGAGATTATGATGGAATAAAGTAAAATGGTTCACTAAACTATAAAGTAAAACATCATTTTAAATTATCTGAACATACTGTTATTATAAAGTAGTTAGCTGAAGTATAACTTTTGTAGTTGGAAGAAGTCAATGAGTTCACATTTGTCGCGTCTGGTTGTGTCTTTTGGCGCTCATCTTTTGTCGCAGACTCGCAGCTTTAACTTCTAGAGTCCGCACTATGGCTTTGTGTGTTTACTTACTTTTGTTAGGGTTGTTATAAGTATAATGGGCTAAAATATTAAGTTTTAAAAGTGTTTTATTAAGGTTAGCATTCAGCAGGCCCAACAGCCCCAAAATCCCAGACCAAATACCCGGTGATGTGTTAAAAAAGTCTGTGCATTGCCATGGCGATGGCGAGACAATGGCATCGCCATGTGTATACCCAGCACCACGGCCCATTTTCTGGCGCAGAGGCCAGCGCAAGCGCCATTGCGCGCCGTTGACAAGCTTGGTCTCAATTAGAACAATGCCGTCACAAATATGCATTAGGATTACAAAATGATAGCCAAAATACTGGATGAGGAAGCCAAATCATATTTACCATGGCTCTGTTGGATACAGATCCACAGACTTCACTCTTTCAGATCTTTGAGAACTTTTCTCTGATCATATAAACAAAGGTAGCATTGAGGAACTACTTCCATGAAAAGAAGACATATGCCAAGTACATTTCTATAGTGGAATTGACTCAGAATGGCTATAGTACCTTGTTTTCCAACCTCAGAGGCTATTATGGGGGTGTTTGGAATTGATTCTAATTCTGCTTCTTTTTTAAAGCAGAAGCAGAATCAGAATCAGTTTTCAGAAGCTGGTACCCCCCAGCTTCTAAAAAAACTGATTCTGAGAGTAAATTAGAGCACCAGAAGTGCTTCTGGAATTTCACCCAAACACTCCAGCTTCTGCTTCTGCTCTCTGAAGGAGCAGAATCAGTTTTGAGAATCAGATCCAAACACCCCCTATATAGGTTCCCAACATTTCCAATGGAGCCAAATAGGCAAATACTCACTATTTTTGGCTTGAAAATATGATGGAATAAAGCAAAATGACTCAATAAACAATTTGCCCTTCTCTATTATGAAGCAACGGTAAGTCCATGCAATTTTCAACGTGATTCTCATCATGAGTCATCGGAAACAATCTTTTTATGTTCTGCATACATCCGACCCCCTTACTCCACCGTAGGTGGGAGCCTTTGCGGCACTAGGATAATGATATTGTTGTTGTTGTAGAGGCTGTTACATAACTCCAACCACAGAACACATTGTGATCATTAAAATCGAAGATGAAAATAACAAAGAATTACATTAAACTCATTCTGATCATTAAACTAATTAAATTTACATGAAACCACAACCTCAAGTGAAGCAGCTAGAAGTAATACCACAAGTCTGAACAAACATGCATGCTGCCAGTTTTTTGTTCATCCCAGCTGTCAGATAGTTCAGGCATTCCTCCTTTAGAAAGCCATGTGCATCCAAATTGAGTCTTCAGCTGCCTGTAGCCATCATCATCGACATCACCATCATCATTTCATTAGCAAACACCACTTTCACCCTTAGGAACAATATCCAATTATCAAACTATAAAATTGCCAGAGCATATGATGCAAATAATAAAAAGACTCAAAGGAGATTTAAAAGGATACTTAACAAATATAACAAACTTCTAAAAATAAATCACCCTGTAACAAAACAAAGTGTCAAATGGAAAGGAACATCAATTGAATAAAGATTTTAGCAATTAAAATCAACTGTACTGTTGTACTATTAATTACAGAAGAGAACATTTATCCAAAAATGAGAAATGGAAACAGAGAAAGCTTCTCATCTACAAAAGTCCATTCATTTTATCAAAAATACCTCAAATTCCCAACCAAACTGAAACACTCAAGAACAACATTCAAGACTTATTTTGGGTTCGGCTAACATGAATCGATCCATGAATATTTCGATTCATGTCATGTGATGTGACTAAGTGATATTGTTGGCAGTCCAAAACTAAAACACTCAACAACAACAACAACATTCAAGCCTTAATCTGAAAAGATTTTGGAGTCAGCTAACATGAATCGATCCATGATATCAAAGCCAAAAAGAGAAGAAAGATAAGAAAAACTAAAACACTCACCGAGTTAAAATCCTACGAAGTTAAATCAATGCTCACCAAGTTGAAATAATAACATGTGTGGCCTCTGTGACTAAGAAAATTAGTTACCTGAATAACAAACGAAGTACCAACCATTGAAACTATCACATCAATCAAACCAAAGAAAGTACTGTATATAACAACAAAATAGTTGTAACAGCAAAAATAGTTTTGAAGTTTACGTTTACCTGATCATTAGGATGTACCTGTCGTCCTGTCTAGCTGAATCATTTGAAGTTTCTTCACTTACCTAAACAAAGAAAAAAAGTTTTTTAAAGGAAATCGTCGAACTATAATGTCAACAAGCGTTTGCAGTTACAACTGCCAAAAGCTCAAAGCTGCACCAAAATTCTTCCAATAGACTTCATCTAGACTCAAGAAATGTCTTATGATCAAATTTTGAAACGGGCACCTTCAAAGAAGCAACGCAAATAGCTGCCTATCAAACGGGCAACATAGAGTTCTTTTTTACCCTTAAGGTCAGTGTACTCTTTCCCACTTCAAAAATATCAAAATAGCCAAAAAGTCTCTTCAGCCCATTATCAGTCGTGGAAAAGTTCACCCAAAACAGAGTGAAACTTTTCGTTGAACATACAGGAGCTTCGAAACAAATAACGACCTTAAACATCTCAAGAACATCACTAACAAAATCAAACCAAAACCAAGATAAAAGGTAAAGGAAAAAAAATCTTGAAATAAAAGCAGAACAAGAAACTACAGATGTCCCAATCCAACCTTGAAGTGTCGTTTTCTGAACTCTAGCCACGCAACCAATCCAAGGCGCCGTTCAGGAAGAGGATGGGCCGTTAAAACTTCATCTTCCTTGTTCATCTCGTCATCCAAACTCATGGTTAATAACTTCAAATCCATAGCCCATGAGTAGATTTTCTGCTCCTGCCTTTGCACTGTACGGTCATTTGCCACCCTGCTCCCGCCGATTGATCGTCACTGAAGCTTCTAAATCGTATTTCTATTTGGCTCAGGCAATCGCCGATCGATTATTGAGAGCAACCCTGATGAGGCATACGCCTCCCGCATTTATTGATTAGGGCCGCCAAGGAGCGGCGCCATTCAACCGGCGTGGAATCTGGAGTATGAAAACTAAACTCAACTTCAAACTAACCTTAGAATCAGAAGTTGAAAGCAATAAAAAGTAGATTCAATATGAAGTTAACCCAACGATCAGATGAAAAAGTAAAACTGATACTATCGTATAACACACTAATTTCATTCCTAGACCTCCACGGACCAGACTTTAAATACAAACCAGAGATAGTCGTAAAATACACCTAAAACAAATATTTATACAATCTGATTACTTAAATAGACCACACACGAGATCAATAAAGTACAGTCCAGTAAAAAACATGCAATCTGAAAAAAATTATCTATGATGGGTAAATACAAATCAACATAAGAATCTGAAATTGGAAAGACAAATGTAGATTGAACATCAAATTAACTAAAAAATCATGATCCGTATATGTTTAGTGATTCCAAATTAACTGTCAACACGACAATACAATCTGAACGAAGATTAAAAGAGGACGTCAAGCCTGTAATAAAGAAGATGGCCAACCTACCATACTTGTCACGGCGGCTAGGCGCGGCGCCAGCGGACCCCCATACCGCCTAGGCGTCTAGGCGCCCGTCTAGGCGACATGTCGTGTCACATGTAATATTTAAATTTGCATATATAATAATATAATACAAAATAATATATTAGATACTGCGTATTAAATTAAAAATGTATATGAACCAACATATAAATTATATAGAATAAAATAATATATTGCAGATTAAACTAAATTAATATATCTATATATATGCAACAATAAATAATTTATACTCCCTCCGTTCCTATTTTATCTTCCAAATAGATTTGGCACACAATTTAAGATAGTGGGTATTGTGTGGTGGAGAGTTGTGCAGAGGAGAGAGAAATGCGTAAGAAATGTTGTAAACCACAAATTCTTTACTAAAAAGGGAAAGTGGAAGTTTTAATTGGAACGGAAGAAAAAGGAAAGTTGGAAGTTTTAATAGGAACGGAGGGAGTATTATTATATGGAACGGATGTTCAATACGGAGTACAAATTTTCAGAAAATAAAATCAAGGTAAGGGACCCCAACAGTCTCCAGTCATGCTTGTACAAGGAATAAAAGAAAGAATAACAAGAGAGAGAGTAGCAGGACAGTAAAAAAAATCGAGAGACAGCGACTACTACAGTTTGAATAGTCTGCAAGTCTCAGAAACCTGGAACGGGCGAGAGAAATGGAGACGGAGGTGGAGCAGCGGCAGCTATATACGACAGCCACCTGAGGTGGTGGGTAGAGGGTCCGGAGCTTGTTGACGAGATGGGGCGTCGCCGGAAAGGATGGTGTTGACCGTTGACTGTTGAGAATGTGGGCATATGGGAGTGTCGTAATTGGGTGAGATACTCACCTTCAATTGGATTCCGTGCGGCACTGATACTGCATGCCGAACAGTGGAAACGTGTATGAGGATAAGACTAAATGGATAGGAGGTGCATTTTCAGCTTCGAACTGGTGTTCAAAATGTTTCCAAAAGTGGCAAGGTTCCACTCTTTGAGATCAATTTTAAGCCTCATAAGTTTTCTTGAAAAACGGAACATTCCATAGAAATCACAGGGGGATCCCAAGAAGTTTTGACTGTGTCAAGGTAAGTAGAGTGCTTAGTCCACATATGCTGAAAATGAAAAAAAATTTGGCCATTATTAGGGACAGGATTAACTTGAAGAAGTAAAGAATTGTGATCAGAGACGCATTTATTTAACTTTTTGAGAGTTAGGTTCCAGTTGAGCTGTAAAATCTCATTTGAAACCATAACTCTATCCAGTTTTTTTAAAACAAGACCTTTCATCTTATTCCCCATCCAGGTGTACGGGGTACCCTGGAAGTTAAGCTCACACAGACTGTTCGAAAAAATAAAATCATTAAACTCGTCCATATCACTTTTGTTGGGCATAATTTTACCTTTGTATCGTCCAGATTTCTGATGACATTAAAGTCACCACCCAAAAGCCAAGGTTTTGGGCCAATGCTTCCTCTGAAAGAAGTCAAATAATCCCACAGTGTCCTTCTACCGATTCTGTCATTGGCTCCATACACCACAGAAATATACAAAGTATAATCAAACTGGTTAGTAGTGATAAAGAAATTGATACATTGGGACTTATCAGATATGATGTTGACAGTATAAGAGGGATCCCACATGATCCAAATTTTGTTGCGTGTGTGAGCAAAGGCATTAGAAAAACAAAGATTCATCATTTTTTTATTCAAATTGGTAGAACTAATTTTAGGTTCAATAATAGAAAGAAGATTAATATGATAAGTACTGCATAAAAACTTTAAACCTATTTTAGGGATTAGTTTAGTCTAGGGGTGGACTCGGGGCGGGTGGCCCGACCCGGAACCGGCCCGGGATCGGTACTGTTCCGGCCCGGCCCGACCCGGTGCCCCGAGCAGTGACCGGTCCGGGTAGGCCCGGCCCGTGGGTTTTCCGGTCCGGGCTCGGGTCACCCAAAACAAGGCCTGACCCGGCCGGGCCCGGGCCCGGTTCGAGCAAAAACCTATTTTTTTTTTTTTTAAATTTTCGGGTTGGGCTGGGTATTTTGGGCCATTTGGGGTGGTTCAGGGGGTTGGGGGTGAGAGGGGGGTTAATTAGGAAGAGGAAAACAAAAAAAATTATAATGGGCCCGGCCCGGCCCGGACCCAGGGATTACCCGGGCCGGTCCCGGGTACACCATTTCTGAACCGCCGGCCCGCCCGGGTCTAGGCCCGACACAGGCCTAGGCCCGACCCGGACCCGGCCCGTACTCCAATCCACCCCTAGTTTAGTCCTATTTAGAACAAATACCCCTAACTTTACTTGAAATTTTTACTATCCAATTTTTCTTTTTATTACAACTAGACGTATATAATTAATAAAAGTAAAAATACATAAACTCTATCATCTTTTTTTATTTGACAAAATTACACATTATGTATCATCATAAAACATAATTTTGATTAAGTCATTATTCAATTCTAGATATATCCTCTAGTATCAATAATAAGGAGTATATCACAAGGGTTTGGTGCACAAAAGGATAAAAACCTATTCTTTCCAATTCACTTTTCCCACACCCGTGGAAGAGAAGCAGTTCTCTTTAACTCTGCTTTTATAAATCAGTCTGTCTACTTAAATTCTTTACACAGTCTGCCCAGTTCATCATCCTTAAATGGATTTGGTTATTAAGGATATGTTTGGCAAATGGCTTATCAGCCAGCTTTTAGCTTGTTTGACCCATTTCAACTGTTTGATTAGTCAAAGAAACTAATAATAATGTTTGGTAAATGCCTTTTAAAATTAGCTTGTTGAGTTTAAAAAGCTGAAAAAATGGATTGTGGAAAAAGCTAAGGGGAGCAGCTTCTTCATTTGGCTGGTTCAATTTACACTCTATCAGCCATTTCAAAAGAGCCAATTTTACCAAACAGTTATTTATAATCAGCCAACATAACCAGTCGGTCAAAACAGCTAACACAACCAGCTGTTGCGAAACAGCTGACACAACCGGCTACCATTTACCAAACAAGGCCTAAACCTTTTCTCGTTAAAACCTTTTCTCTTGACGCATCCTGTTTGAGTTTGTTTGGTCGATTTCCCACACCGGTAGAAGGGGAGATTTGCTTGTTTTATTATAAATAAGTCTGCCCTGTCCAGTTATTGTGATCAACGCCTCTGGAATCTTCCGATCCTTCTCTCATACGCTTTCTATCTCTAGGACATGTCTTCAAATTATACGTATGGTTGGGATTTCATCACTAGCACCTGGGATTGTATTGAACGACAAGCACACCTTGATGAATGGAAGGAAGTGGATCCTGATTTGAAGCAGCTGGGTCGTGTTCTGTCAGATCAGTTTCCGGATCCACCCAAAGACACTGTTAAAACTATGACGGTGGCCACCATTTATCTTTATCTTCCTTATTATTCATATAGATTTGGTTTGATTGCTCTGTATTTCTTTGTTTCCTCATTCAAATAATCATATTGCAGAATGGCTATGCGCTTGTGGTGGACTTCGTGCGAGTATGTCACTTTCCCTTTCTTCCTTCTTCTTCTGCTTCATCTTCAGTGTTGATTTTGACATTTTGTCTGTTAATGCGCATACATGCTGAATCAGTGTGAACCGCCGGTTGAACCGGACCCAATCTTTTTGGGGTTGGCACCTCCAGGCACCCGCGGCAGGCGAAGGCTGACTAAGAGATTTCTGGAAGCAGATCGCAGAAGGCTTAAGAAGGGGGTGCCTAATTATGGGCCCTACGGTAACTACATACCAAAGGCACCAGCTTTTTCGCCCACCCAACCAGCAGTCTCACCAGCTTAACATTCCAGCCACCGGGATTCTGGTTCCCCTACTGTTTATCTTTCATGCTTTCCTACATTAAGCTTTTGAATTCAATCTCTTGGCTGAATTTGACATTACTAGGCATCCCTGGGTTGGTTGGGGAGCCTCTGCCCTCTGCTGGCCATCTAGTTAATGGGCTGCTCCCTACATTTGAGGTGCTTGTCTCGGTAGGTAGTCTATCATCACTACAAGATAGTCATGCATACAATTCTTTTTTATGCATAACAGATGGGAACAGGGATGGAAATTACCCATGGATATCCATTTATACGCTTCACCCACCCGATCAGACTGATTGAAACTTGAAAACATGTTGGTGACCGATCAAGCATATAACAGATACAGTAAATGGGACTCACCCAATTCTCCACCCGAATCATTAATCCTACCCATTTCATTTTGACATTACAGAGGTGTATTTTGTTTTGCTGGCTAATACGGTGGTTGGGGCTTAAATCTCTAAAATTTGCGTGATTATATTGGTACCCTGGCGGGTTTGGATCACCTGTCCATCTTTTTCATCCTTGAATAATGTATCAAGAATGTCAATGTGGCCATATGGTATTTCTGGCAATCCTAGAGGATGAAAATATGGGTAGGTGTATACGTTTCTCTATTCGATTCAAGTGTAGAAAAGAAAATGACTAGGGCTTTTTGAATAGTTATATCTTAGATATGAATGTACATTGTAGAAAGAGTGTCGTTGAACCGATGTTAAAATCTCGATTTCAATTGTAAAATCAAGATTCTGCACTAATAAATGGATTAACTATGAGCCTTTGATATATAAGTCCAATATTGATAGAAAATAAGTCAAACATAATATTATTCTCCTTTGAAGAGACAATTATAGAACCAGATTCTAAATATTACTAGTATTAAATGGATTGAAAGGCCCTTCTTAATTAACCTAACCATGGTCATCAATCCGTACTTCATCCTTGCAACCATCAGCTTCTCCCTATTATACCACCTGAATCCCAACTACACCATGGGGCTCATCTATTGTGCTGTAGCCCCTCCACATCGTCCAGCCACACTGTGAACTAGATCTTGTTATACTCTTGATGAAGATTTATGAGCTTCAATGACGAGCATTAGATCTACGACTACGATCAGGTCTATTTCTTCCCCTTCCCCTTCTTGAGACCATCTCCAATGGGGATGTCTATTGTCTTACACACTCTGACGAATGGGTCTCTTTTTTTATCTCACAAATTTTATGTGTAGGACCTACATATGTCCATATTTATTTTTTTTTTCATTTTATTATATCACTTTTAACTCACTTTTCATTCACTTTTGCTCCTCGATTCCCGTGTAATGTCTATTTGTGGACATTGTCATAGACATTGTCTACAATTTACTCGTATCTCTCTCTTCCTTTTTATTTTTTCACACACCACTTTCTCCATATTAAATTAAAATAATCATCCTATCTTTATCTCTCTTCTATGCCGCGTAGGATAGACTTTACTCCAATCCACTACCCTATTGGAGATGCTCTCAGGCCGAGCCATTGCATCATGGTTTTAGTCCATTTTTCTTAAACATATATATTCTCTCTTCTAGATTTTAGAAATTTGTAAATTAGTCCTTTGATCTCTTTCTTTGAGAACAGAGTTTAGAATATGTATTTAATAGATTATAAAATTGGTTGCTAATACAATTCCATTAATTGAGAATGTCTTATTTTTTTAATTAATTATCTAAGCATATCCTTAGTCGTCAAAAATAGATTGTCTTTTATTCCGCAATTTTGTTTTGTAAAACTAAAAAAAAAATGAAAATAACATTAAAGTGTATGCGAGTCCGTGCATAAATAAAACATGTAGTAGGTTGTGTAGATGCACTTGTAAACGCCTATGTATATAATAGGGTGTAAATCAACGTGTTATATACTACATCCGTTCCGCTATGATTGTTCCGTTTTACCTTATCGGTCCGTCCCACTAAAATTGTCTCATATCAAATTTGGCAAAGTTTGTGTGTCTCTAAATCATTCTTACTTTATTCTTACTTTATCAATTCATTAGCAATCACATAAACCACTTTTTATTAATTTACGTGTCACCCCCTCTTGTCCCATTGTTAGCGGGACGGAGGGAGTACATGTTTTAACTGTTTAGGCGTGTACACGAAGTTGCTTTGATAATCAATATATATATATATATATAAAAGAGGAACTTTTTAAGAGAATACAAAACACCACATAATCCTGCCATGTCATTATATATAACAATTATTTACTTATTTTTATACCTTTTGTTTTTCTTAGAGTCTATTTTTGATTGCATATTGATATGGAAACAAAAATCTTTATAAATCCACCTTAATTAATTTGGTAAGTTTCAAATAAGTAAAATAATTTTTTGTTATCAAAGTGAAATTCTAATAACGTTTATTGATATGGAAACTAATTTATACGGAGTATTAGTTTACTACACCGAATAAAATAGAAACAAATATGGGAATTAGTTTTCTTATTAATTTGACACCTATTAATAAATTAGTAAACTTCAAATAAGTAAATAATTAAAGATGAAATTAAAAATTATAACCAACATAAAGTATATATATTTTCACAAGTAATATGTTTAGCTTAGCCAAATAGGTAAAAAAATTTGGTTGTTTCTTTATTTTACACCTAAAATTCAAATATGCCTTCACTTTTGAAATAGATTCGTAAACCAAATTAGAAAATATTTATAGGTTTACGAATTCCTACTTTTATTTTAATAGAATGTTTTTAATTGGATTGATTTCAGTTCCAGATTAAATCAGATCAGATCAAACTTTAATAATTATAACAATAAGTCACATAAAAAACAAACATCTAATAGACCATATTAATTCATACCAAATCAAACTCGAAATTTTAATTCAATTAAAAACGTTCTTATTAATGAGTAAACTGTAAGATCTAACGATTAAGAAATATAGAATTTTTTTATTATTGGGTTCATAACAATTATGTTTACCTGAGATGCTTATGTAGAAGACTAATTTAACTTTTTTTTTTCATATATTTTTTTCTTTGTTTCACAAATGGAATATGTTTCACATATATTTTTCATGATTCAGAAGATTCCACGTATTTAACCAGAATTCAATCAATTTCAGCAAAATAAGTTAATTCTATTTACTTTAGTGTTATCAAACAGACTCTATATTAGACTAAGTTTATTTTTCTTTTAAATCACATTATATGTGATCCGATAGAAATTAAATTTCAAATTAGCTAAATTACATACTACCCGTGCATCGCACGAGTTTGAAAGCTAGTTATTAACTATTGAAAAAATTGAAGTGGCTTCTCTTCTGAGTGTGTATACTGTGCAACGGGTGCATGGTGAGCACCATGCACTCATTGGATATTATTTTCTCTTTTTTTAAAAATGGTAATAACTTTTTTATTTTTTATCCGATTTTTATAAAATTTATATCAACATTTTTTATTTTTCATGATCTTTCAAATGAGACCAATATTGCCTATGTAATTTTAACATATTAACATTTGCGTGTAAAATATGTAACTTTACGTGTTAAAATATGTAACTCACGTTCAGTCAGGCCAAATGCAACTCGTGTGTATAAATATGTATCTCTACGTGTAACAATATGTAACTTTACGTAAAAAAATATGTAACTCGCGTTCAGACAGGTCAAATGCAACTCGTGTGTATAAATATGTAACTCGCGTGTATAAATATGTAATTTTACGTGTAAATATATGTAAGTCGCGTTCAGGCATGTCAAATGCAACTCATGTTTATATATATGTAACTCGCTTATAAAAAGATGTAACTTGCTTATAAAAAGATGTAACTCGCTTATAAAAAGATGTAATTTGCTTATAAAAATATGTAACTTGTTCATAAAAAGATGTAACTCAATGTATTATCAAATGTAACTGAGGCCACTGATCCACTTTCAAACAGATTCGATCTTCTATTTCACAAACCTATCATCTCCCAAACAGATTCGATTTTCCTTATAATCCAGTACTCATTAATATAATAGTTCGATAATTTCTTAAAATTACATAAGCAATATTGGTCTCATTTGAAAGAGGCTGTGAAGATGGCCGCTGTGAGTGGCGCCCAGCCGAGCTCTGACGCAGTGAAGAAACCACCTACGCAGCCGAAGAAGAAACGGCCTGCAGATGACGGCCAGAGGAAGCTCAATGAGGCCGGTATGCAGTCTAAGAAGCCGAAGAGGGCTTCCCCTCTGGCTGATGCTGGTGCGGGTGGTATGACCGTACCGGATGATGATGCCGGGGGCTCAAATGTCGTTTCCGTTGTAGATGCGGTTTCGGTCCCCTCTTCAACGGTCCTATCCCAGCCGCCACCTGTCGGCCAAGAGCCCCGTAAGCAGAGGGCCGGCAAGGAGCTGGCCGTTGGGACCTACAAACTCGAAGTCGAGTATCCCGTGAAGGGTGGCGTCTTCAATGACGCTGTTGACGGCCATGATGTTCTGGCCCAAGCTAGCTATCCCGGTCGAGGATCGGGCTTATTTGAAGAAACTGGGTCCCGTCAGGATCTATGACGGCGGGATGGACCTCATCGTCCAAGTAAGTTTTCGTACTTTACGTCTTTTTGTGTCACGGGTTTTGCGTCGTCCTAACTCTCCATTTTTCCTTTTTTTGTTGCAGGGTGCTCTTATGCTGATGGAGAGCCACAAGCGGCAGAAGCAAGAGATTGCCCGCCTGAAGGAGGCTAAGAAAAAGGCTGCTTCGGCCGAGGAGGCCATGGCCTGCCTGGATCGGCTCCGGGAGGAGGTAAAGGCCATACAGAAGGGTGTTGATGAGGCCGATGTGGCCTACCGGCAAGTGGCGGCCGATTGGGATGATGCTTTGAGGGCCAGGGATGAAGCCCTGAGGAGCCGCGATGAGGCCCTACTTCGGGCCGAGGACGCCGCGAGGGCTTAGACTGACTCTGAGAGGGCCGCTGAGAAGGTCGTTGATGGCGCTATCGCGAGGTTCCAGGCCGAAGGCTGGAAGGACGAGGACCGCCGGCCCTGAGAAGGCCGGTGGTGGCGGACCGTCATGAAGACTGGGGCCAGAACTGTCCTGCTGGCTAGGAATACTTTGCCCGTGAGATGGCCGTTTACTACGACATGGGCCAACAGAGGATGCAATGGCTGATATACCGGAGGCTGCATCGGGCCTTCAAGAAGTTGAAACTCGCCCAGAAATGGGCTAAGAAGAACTTGAAGCTTCCAAGGCTGATGAAAGATCTGGAGGCCGAAGCAAAGCTCCCCCCGTCTGAGAGGCAAGATCCGGTGCTCAGCTCTTCCATTGGTGAGCCTGATTGGTCCGATGATGACGCCCTAGCCGATACCACCGTCTCCTCAGCAGCCGAGGCTAACGGAGGTGCAAGGACGGAGGAGGGTAACGGAGTTGCATCGGGGCAGGCCGATGTGAGGCTAGTTGCTGATGAAGCCATCCCCGAGAGCTGATCGGCTGGCTTATGCAGTTTAGTTAACAGGTGTCTGTAACACCTTTTTTGTAATGGCCGTTGAGCCTCCCTGATGTAATGAATTTCTATGAATGACATGTCCATTGTTTCTGGCCTTATTCTGTGTTCTCCTCGTCTCGTTTCTCTCTTTGCTTTTGTTCTCAAGTTTTTCAAAATTTTTCCAAGTGTTTGAAATTGGGACTTGGGTAATTGTCGACTTCAGTTGCTCCCTGGCTCCAGCCGAAGCGGGTAGCTTGGGTGAGTATGTTTCGTCTATGAGGAATACCCCTCACGCTTTGCAGGAACTTTAGGATTTTTTCCTAAGTACCAAGACTTCAAGTGAGAGGGTGACCGCGTCGTCTTGGCAACACGCCCCTCTTTTCTTTTGTTCATACTCTAGAAAATTTTCTAAGTGTTGAACTAAATGTCAAATTTGGAGAATTTTCCAAGTGTCAAATTGAGTAGCTCCTTCATCGGTCAATACGGCCAGTGTGGAATAGCTTCCCACGCTGAGGTGTTCTCATCGGTTCTATGTTCTCTTCGGCCACCGTGCATTCTTCGTCTCGTGTCATTCCTCATTTTTTTTGCTATACTTGTAATTTTTCCAAGTGTTTAAACAAGAACTCAAGCCTGATTCCTATAGTTGCGGCCGATGAGAGGACTTGTCCTTTGCTCAACTGAGGGGGAATATCTGCTTCGTCTTTGTGACGCTTATCGTCACATTGTTGTGGACTTCTCTGAGTGTCCCGCTTAAAAAGTTGGGAATCGTTCCAAGTCTGGAGACTTAGACCTTTACCCTCATCGGCCACTCTGGATGGTGCTCAGGGATTTCTCCAAGTACTTAGAAAATTTTTCTAAGTGTTTGAACACACTTGGGCGATTGCTTCCTTTGTGAGTAGCTGATGATGGCCTCCTCTTTGGGTTGTCTAATGCCGGCCACGTGGTGCCCCTTTTCGGCCCCAGGAGTTTACCTTGGTATTTTTGTCCAAGTTTTTTTGGAGCTTTCGTCAGTAACGCGTAATGCTTTGCCTGATATGTACTTGAACAATTTTGAGGATTTTTATTTTTATTGCTCGAGGCCGGCGAGTGCGCGGCTCATCGGCTGTCCCTCTTTTATTTTTGGGGATATCGCTTCAGCCCGACAAGTGCGCGGCTCATCGGCTGTCCCTCTTTTATTTTTTGGGGATATCGCTTCAGGCTGGCAAGTGCGCGGCTCATCGGCTGTCCCTCTTTTATTTTTTGGGGATATCGCTTCAGGCCAGCAAGTGTGCGGCTCGTCGGCTGTCCCTCTTTTATTATTTGGGGATATCGCTTCAGGCCGGCAAGTGCGCGGCTCGTCGGTTGTCCCTCTTTTATCATTTGGGGATATCGCTTCAGACCGGCAAGTGCGCGGCTCGTCGGCTGTCCCTCTTTTATTATTTGGGGATATCGCTTCAGGCCGGCAAGTGCGCGGCTCATCGGTTGTCCCTCTTTTATTTCCTTCCTCTACTCATTTGAGCGAGGAATGGGTGTCCTTCTTTCAGGCTTCGGCCAGGGGGGTCGATAGTCCCTTGGCCGGTAAGGAGTCCTACTGGATCGTACTGGGATCTCAAGGAGGTCCCGTCGCCTATTTACGATGCGGGCTAAGGCTTTTGGTCGGTTACCGACGGCTGCCGTTTCTCATCCTTGAGTTTGGGGATTTTTGTCACCTAGGCCATGATTTTCAGACCTGTCGTCCTGCTGATTTCGCGGATAGACGACGCGGTGAGCTTCCCATTTCAAGACGTGGGCTCTTTGCGGGCCCTTCGTCCTGGGTTTGACTACGGTACTGATGATGTAGGGACCCTCGTATTTGAGTGCTAACTTGCCACCTTCTGTCGGCTTGCTCGCCTCTCTTCGGCGAAGTACGTAGTCCCCCACCTGAAATTCCCGGGAACGTACCTTGGCGTCATAGTATGATTTTACTTGACGCCGGTAGTTCTCTGCCCGGATGAAGGCCTGCTCTCGTCTTTCTTCGATCAGGTGGAGGTCAATCTTCATGTTCTCTTCATTGGTTTCGGACTCGTAATGCTCCACCCTTCGGCTAGGTATGGTAACCTCTGTGGGGGCCTTTGCTTCAAAGCCATAGCAAAGGGCAAAGGGTGTCTCGCCCGTTGCCCTCCTCGGCGTAGTACGGTAGCACCACAAGATATTGGGGAGCTCATCGGCCCAACTGCCCCCTGCGTCCTGGAGCTTCTTCTTCACGCCCTCCAGGATGGTTCTGTTGGCGTTCTCGACCTGCCCGTTGCCTTGAGGACAGGCAACGGAGGAGAAACGATGTTTAATTTCCCACTCTTGGAGGAGCTCTTGAAAGGGCGCGACCTCGAACTGGGTACCTGAAGGATCGATCCCACAGCCGGGAGGCAGCCTACCGATATTGTCCGCTTTGGGTTGCCCCTCACGGATTTAAAACGTGTCGATAGTGGTGAAGAGCCTAGGCCTTATAAGGTACCAAGGACTCTCCTAGCCCATCGATGTGGGATTCTTTGGCATTCCTACCGAAGAGGCGGGTTTAAGATGCGCGAGTTTCCCCGGCTCAAGGGACTGGTAGGCCCATACCTAACAATCCCCCCCACACCGGTGCTACCCCCTGGCTCTGTTACCAATTGAAGGATCGATCCCACAGCCGGGAGGCAGCCTACCGATATTGTCCGTTTTGGGTTGCCCCTCACGGATTTAAAACGCGTCGATAGTGGTGAAGAGCCTAGGCCTTATAAGGTACCAAGGACTCTCCTAGCCCACCGGTGTGGGATTCTTTGGCATTCCTACCGAAGAGGCGGGTTTAAGATGCGCGAGTTTACCCGGCTCAAGGGACTGGTAGGTCCATACCTAACATTACTGTTGTCGGATATGATCTCCTGAGGAACACCGAAGCGGGTGAGGATATTTTTGTGGACGAATTTCTGACACCTGGCCCCTGTAATGCTGGCCAAAGGTTCCGCCTTGACCCATTTGGTGAAGTAGTCTATGGCGACGATGATATATCGATTGTTGCCACCGGCTCTGGACAGGGAGCCGACCAGGTCAATACCCCATCTTGAGAATGGGATTGTTGTGCTGACCGGGGCGTAGTTGACGGGTGGCCGACCAGGGGCTTTTTGAAGGACCTGGCATGCGGTACACTTTCTTGCCAGATTGGTACAATCCCACGCCATCGTCGGCCAGAAGTAGCCCTGGACGACGAGACGTCGGGACATGCTGAAAGGGCCCTGGTGGGAGGAGCAGACGCCGCAGTGGACTTCCTCCATGGCCACTTCAGCCTCATCTGGGTGCAGACATCGGAGGAGAGTGCCGTTGTAAGATCTTTTATAAAGTTTCCCATCCTCGATGGTGTAGCTCAGGGCCCTGAGTTTGGCTAGCTTGGCCCTCTCCTCGTCCTGGGGCAATTCTCCCGAGGTGATGAACGTCATGATGTCGGTAATCCAATCCTCTGGCCGCTGCTGGATGCATGTGACCGGGCTGGCATGGATCTTGGACATGCTCAGCTCTTTGACCTTGGGTATCTTGGAGATGTGCTCTGGAGTGTCTGAGCTGAGTTTGGAGAGGATGTCGGCCTCAGCATTCTCCGCCCTTGAGATCTGGGTGATCTCGGCCACCTGCTTGTACTGCCTCATCCTCCCTTCTTTAGCCTCGTATGAGCCCTCGATCTGGCCCACCACTAGCTTGGAGTCGCATTTGATTTTGATGTGCCGTGCTTTGAGGCTGTCAACAAGTCTGCGGCCGCTGAGGAGGGCCTCATACTCGGCCTCGTTGTTGGATACCCTGAAGTTGAATCGGATGGCATAGTAGGCTATGAATCCTTCAGGGGAGATGAGGCCGCCGCCGCCACCACAAGCTTTGGTGGCCGATGAACCGTCAGTGAAGAGAGTCCATGCTTCGTCTGGCGCTAGCCTTGGTGTGGTAGCGGCCGTCTCCCTGGTTGTACATTCGGTGACGAAGTCGGCCAAGGCCTTCCCTTTGATGGATGGCCTTGGCTTGATCTCTATCTGGAACTGGCTGAGGAAAATCGCCCATTTCACCATCCGTGAGGAACTGGTGGGGCTCCGCATGAGTGCGCCGAGGGGTTGCTGAGTTAAGACGTGGATGGCGTGGGCCTGGAAATAGTGCCCTAGTTTCTTCACTGTATGGACGATGGCCAGTACCGTCTTCTCAATGGGAGAGTACCTGAGCTCGGCCTCCCGCAACGTCTTGCTCGTGTAGAAAATTGCCTTCTGTACCCCCTCGTCCACGCGGATGAGTACGGAGCTGACGACCGAAGTGCTCACCCCTAAGTATAGGAAAAGGGTTTCACCGGCTTTAGGCTTGGAAAGCACGGGTGGGGACGACAAGTACCGCTTCAGTTCCTCAAATGCTTGCTGGCACTCCGTCGTCCATCTGAAACCATTTGCTTTGCGCATGGTCTGAAAGAAAGGGAGAGAGAGACCTTTCAGTCGATTTTGAGAGGAAACGGTTCAGGGCCGCAAGGCGTCCCGTCAGCCGTTGTACCTCCTTCACATTTCGCGGTGGCTCCATGTTGACAATATCCTGTATCTTCTCTGGGTTGATCTCAATGCCCCTTCGACTGACCATATAATCGAGGAACTTACCCCCTTGGACGCCGAAGGTGCACTTCTTCGGATTTAGGCGGAGCTGGAACTTCTTCGTTATCTCAAAAATTTCCCGGAGGTCGTCGGCGTGGCTAATGGATTGCCTGCTCTTGACGATCATGTCGTCGACATACGCCTCCTTCGTCCGGCCAAGGACTGCTCTGAAGACCTTGGCTACCATTCTGGTGTATGTGGCGCCTGAGTTCTTGAACCCAAAGGCCATGACGAGGTAGCAGAAAATTCCCTCTGAGGTCATGAAGGCCGTCTTCTAGGCGTCATCTTCATGCATGAATATCTGGTGGTACCCCCTGAAGGCGTCAAGGAATGACATCAACTCGCATCCCACCGTCTCGTCCACCAGTTGATCAATGTTGGGGAGAGGAAACGGGTCCATGGGGCACGCCTTGTTCAGGTCAGTGTAATCAACGCACATTCTGAACGTCGGCGGCTTCTGTGCGAGGACGACGTTGGCCAACCAGGTGGGGCACTTCACCTCCTTAATGTGGTTGATG